GCTAACATACAGTAACACAATTCTTGCAGAACAAAAGCAGTATTTCCACTGCTACATTTCAGTAGACATATTACTTTTATTTTGAGAGTCTTTTGAAGGTGTTACACCAAAAATACATAGAATGTATTTTTATACAGAAATTATAAGATACTACATAGGTAGATTGCCCTTGTGTGACAAGAGGGTTAAAAAAGGGCTAAAAGCAATTCAGCTGATAGTCATGCTTGCCATGCTTGCTCTGTGTCCATGTAGAACACTTACCTTGCACAGATCAACCACTGACAATTTATATTAGCCAGACTATCTTACTAGCTGGATGGGTACCCAGGAAAAAAAAAAAACAAAACCTCTGTCACATCTCATCATTCAACAAAAAGGACCAAAAATGCAGCAGACTTCTCTGAAATTATGCTTTTTTTCTCCTACACCAGCAGTGAACAGTGTGTAACAGATCATATTGGCTTTGGTCCTACTGGAAGTACTATTCTGCAGAATGTCCTTTATCTGATGAATATCTCCCCATAAACTCCCATTTCACTGCTACACTTCCAGTTAAACTATACACTCTTGAGTATAATGTGCTCTAAGAGTGGTCTCCCTTTACCAAGCCTCTGTTTGAATTGTGAATCTTAGGCAGATATTTAAGACAACATGTACATCCAGCACGTTGTTGCAAGAAGCTTTTGAAAGCAGCTGATTGTTGCTTGCTTTTGATGAAATCCTTTGTTCCTCCTGTTTGTCCCCTGCCACCACAAGTAGCTGCTGCTGATCTCCAAATCAATACCTGCTGACATCCTGGGTGATGTGTCAGTGCACGAACATTTATGAACTTAGCTGATGAACACATAGAAAAGAAAATTAACTCGTAGAAGAAAAAGCCACAAGAGAACCTTGGGAGTTTTCACTGCAACAAGGAAGTTTCAATGAAAAGTAGGGACTAGCAGCTGGAAAAAAAAGCTGGAAGTTTCTGATTTCTTGCAAAAGCAGTTTTAAGGAGTTTTTTTGGGGTTTTTTTGTTTTTTGGTTTTTTTGTTTTTTTTTTTAATCAATTTAACCTTATAAAAATGACAACCATCTAGCCATAATATAGCAAGGGGTTTTTTAGCTACTATGTGCAGACATAGCATTTTCATTCATAAGTATTGCCTGATGTCATGAACATATCTCTTCATAGAGCTGATAGAGGTTAGTCCTTACCAATGGAATTTCATATTTTGTCCAGCAGAGGATGAAACACCACATGGTGATGAGGGCAACTTTTGTATTGCTGCTGATTGCAGTGCAGAATGAAATGTGACGGGATTCAGTAACTGTCCTGGTCCCTGACGAGTTACTTTTTATTTTTTACTCACAAGAAACTTTGAAAAAACTTTGAAAAACAGTTAAGTTAGGTCTGAAATGTTAGGTCTGCATGCATGATAAGCAAATCATTGTGATACAAAGATAAGCAGTTTGGTGGCAACTCCTACATTAATGAAAATAGAATTGATGTTCACTATCTGTCAACAGGGAGGTCACTCCCACCTGAAAGTGGAATGCTTAAAGGAAGAATTAACAGACACATTGAGATTCAGTTTGTTAAAACTGTAGACAATAGACAGAGGATAATACAGTGGCAAATGCAGGAAAAACTGCTGCAAGAGCAGCAATAGGCTTCTGACTTTGGCCAATTTACTGCTCATTTGAGGATCACTGTAGTTTTAAAGAGGCTTCTTAGGATGTTTCTGAAAGGTGGAGAAAGCCAGTGTACAAGATTATGGGTATATGTGAACACATTATCTTTTTGAGAGTATGAAAAAGAACAAAAGCATAAGGCTTACACAATAAACAGACTTTACAGTGGCACAAACAATAAAATGTTCATCAAAATAAGACTAGAACTGTGCCAGTGACAAATAACAGCATCATTAACTATACTGTGAATTTTCAGCCCGTTTTTTTCTTATTATTTTCACAAGAAAGACCTCTTGAAACTTATGTAATGAACCAAACTGTACGCAATACAATGTTTGCATATTATATTAGGCTGGTTTATTCTTATAAAACAGACAATTGGTCCTAGATGCTGCCCAGACTATGTGTTTGCCTGTGAAAATATATGTTGACATTTGTATCCTGAGGCAAGAGCAAAAAATGAGGATTTATCCTGCTCTTTGCAGAGGCTGCAAGATCCTGGGACAGCCAACAGCCCCACAGTCTGGTGCTATTCACATACTGCAACAGAACTGAGTTTCCTGTTACTTGCTTTCAAGTTGTGGGTGCATGTGTTACCTGTTGGATGGTTGATTTTTTGTCACTGGGAGACTCTTGGGATGGTAGCTGTAAGGTCCATATGCTGTCAGTTAGCAAAGACTTCAGAAACACTAGCTGTAAGTGAAGAAATTAGAGAATTACACAGAAATAACAGGTTGATGGGACTGATTCCAAGTGTACAAGCCCAAAGACTGCATGGCCTTCAGATAAAACAATCAAAACAAATCTGAGCAAAGACCAAATTAAATATGGAATCCCAACATACCAATTCTTTAGAATAAAATTCTACCCATTTTGATGAAGGTGGATGGGACACCTGTATTTAACCCAAAAAAGGAACACATATAAATTATATGTGTTCGATGAACAGCAAATACAAGCCAGAATAAACCAACCAGTTGCAGACAAAAGAATGGAAAGTTTAGCTGTGTTTAACCATGTTGCCAGACCATCAGTGGGACAACAACTAACCCTCAATTGTGTGTTTAAATGTAGGTTTACAGGCAACCAAAAACAGCTGCAAGCAAACATATCACACTTCTGTCGTCTTCTGCCCATTTTCTTTACATCTCCCATGACAGACAATACAAAGCCAGGAGTTTCACCATGCTAGCTGGGAGAAAAACTGAAATACGTGGATGGGGTGGGAAGTGGAGGCATCATGCACCATAACAACAATGGATGTTTTAAAGATGCATATGAAAATTCACAGGAAAATAATTAAATTACTACATTTTGAATATTGATGCAAACAAGATTATGAAATGATGCCACAGTTCACATTAACACAACTATTCATAAATTGTTCCTAAAAATAAAGATGTCAGTCTAATGACTGACATCTGCAAATTTCTAAAGTAAAGTTTTCATAGCAAAATACATCAGATTTTAACAAAGGCGGCTCACTAAAATTGCAGTACCTAAAGTCCCACAGTTATTAAAACCCCATGTGGTCTGAGTTCAGCAGCTGTTTAGAAGCTTTAGGAACTGCTTAGAGGGAGTTTATTTCAGGACCAATGTGTACAGCAGTCATTACTGCAGGTAATACAGCTCATATGCAATTATGCTACAATGACATTTAAGAAAACAGCCTTACCTTTAATTACAGTATTTGAGAGATGAAGAGGAGCCACTTTCCTTAGGTGCCCTTCATGGCTAATGGCACTTAATTTTATAAATTAAAATTGACTTTTCTGTTAGCTGATAATTCTTCTTCTGAAGAAGAAAGTACAATTTTGCTTATATATAATTCATAGGTGGGGAAGTTGTATCAAATCAAAGGGGTACTTTTATTCTTCCTGAGGAACATGCCACAAAACAAGCTACAAGAAACTTGTGTGAGAAAGAATAATTTATTTATTTTGGGTATGAATTCAGACTTGGGAAGGTGCTGTAATTCAAAGGCATCTCTGCAAACCCTCTCTCTGCATCAATCACTGCTTGTTTTCACACTTTTACTTTTGTTCTCCATGAGAAAGAGACAGAATGATAGCTCTACTCCACAGCCTCAAAAAAACTCACTCAGGAGTTCCTGCAGAGCAGGAACAGCCATGTGAACTTCCCTGTAATACACATGCCAACATTTTGGAATGAATTGCAATGGTGTAAAGCTACCTGAAATCACCCCTCCAACCCTGATCTTACACTGCTCTTCTTTCTTGGTACTCCTCTCTACATAATGTTGACATTGGCATAGTTATTCATACCAATTTTATCATTAAAAAATTACCATATTTCTGCCAAATGAGTGAGGTTTTTTAGATGCATGAGGAAAGAAACTCTGAAAGGAAGATACAGTAGAAACAGCTACCTGGACAGCACAGTGATATTGGGACAGATCTTTAAGATGTAAAAAGTTGGGAACTGGTTTGATAGGATGGATTTTGGGACAGAAAAAGTAAATAGATGCTAGGGAGAATTAGAGTTATTGAGTACAATGCTGCTTTAATGATTTTTATGCTAAAGAGTTCCCTGAGTTTTGGTTCAGTCAAGACATCTCCCACTGATGGGGCAGTTATCTAATACATCTATTCAGTAATTTAAGACCATTAGACAAAACAGCAAAATAAGGAGGCTTCTACCCGTATTCTCTTTCAGTGATGAAACAGCTGGATTTGGGTTTGGACCAGATGACCTCCTATGGCCTCTGTCCACCTCAACTGTTCTGTGATACTGTCAATCACTACCGGTGGGTGTGATCTCCCTCTTTAAAGTGCCTAACCACCAGGTGACCGTCAGTGATAAATGCCCCTCAAGGAAAGACTGTCCTAAGGAAGAAAGGATGACAAAGACACTCCAATCTATGGAATTACTTCTACAGAACATGTGACACTCCAGCCTCTCATGTTGTCTCCTAAACATTTGTTGATGGCCTGTCATAGGCAAGCTACAGATAGATCTCTGTGAACCAGTACCTGTACTCTGGCTGAGTAGAGCTGCTTTTCCATTCAGTGCACTTGTCTAGATTCTACTTTTTGTCATTTCCTTCCCGATCTCACAGGGAAAGCAGGAAGTAAGATGAGACAAGGGGAAAGGCACAACTAGACTGGCAAAAGGAGGAAGGAGACAGGACTTTTGTTCGATGAGAACCACCATCAGTGGGAGTCCCCATGGCTTCCACTGCTAATCTGACTGAAATGATGGCACTTTAGCATCATTGTTCTACCACCATTTAAAGCATGCTTCTGAGCGACTGTTGTTATAAATTAGGTCCCTATATGTCCAATTTAATAAACCACAAGATTTAAAATTTAGCAGCAATTTTAATTGAGGCATAAAATAATAATGCAATCAAATATAATTCAGTAGTTACAAAAAGAAATTTGGCAGTGGTGCGGATAAAGCAAAACCAACCGGGGTATGGGGAGGACTTTCTACCCTGCCTCCCGTACGAAGGATCCAAACACAACGTATATACTGTGTGCTAATACGTATTCATCAATAGTTCCATAAATCTCCTCCCATTTTTCATTCTTGAAATCTACATCACTCTACTGCACAGCGCGTGCTCCCATTGTTGCTATGCGGTCTTCTGGTCTCTTCAGGGGTCTTCTAGGAGGAAGGCTGAAGGTCTTCCTCACATGTCCTCTGGATAACCTGGCAGGTGGCACATGCACATTAAGCTTGGTGTTATACAAGTAAGCACTATGTTCCAATTAAACCTTATTTATTTCCATAGATAAGACCACTATTTTAGACTCCCTGTCTGGAATGGTCCCAACTTTATTCATATTCAAGGTCGATCCTGCTCTGGGAGTTGTCTTTTAACTTCAGTTGATGCCAATTCTGGTTTGGGAGTCAGTTCCTGACTTCCTCCATTTCCAACGCCAAATCCAACTCCTGCACCCTGTTTCCCACATGTATTCTTGAAGAAACCCATCTGCTTCATAACACCAATTATATATACTTTTCCAATTATTTTCCCAAATTATTGATATAATTACAATTTTGTTAGCACAGATCACAACCATTTATAAGACTGTGATGCAGAACCAGGAGTGTCAAAATGACCCAGGCAAAGGCACTTAATTAAAAGATGGGCACCCTTCTAAGGAGTCTGTGACTTCCCAGAGGATGAGGACATTGCTTGGCCGCACTGGTGCCATGGCTGCTGCGCAGGCAGAAGCAGTGGTGTACCACCGTGTAGCAGGTGCCACTACGAGCACCGCAAGCAGGGCAGGGCAGTGTGCCCACACGTGTGACCACGACCGAGCTTTTAATATGGATACTGAAAGAAGTGTGAGAGCAGCCTTCACGATGTATCGTCAGGAAAGTGGCACAGGTCAGAAACTTTAACTGAGATGTTTTTGACGGCAGAATTCACACACCAGCCTTCTCCCTGTAACTTAAGGTTAAATCACCTGGTTGATGCTCCATTCATCCCTGAGTCCGCTTTTTCCTATAGGAAATGTGTGACCTCGCAGCTGCCATCCCTTTTTGGTGACATGTGATTGAACACGGTCAATACATCCTAAAAGCCAGGCACGGAGGGAGGAGCAGGGCCGTGCCCGGTGCCGCTGTCCGTGCGCCGCATCACCCACAGCAAGCCGCTCCCCCGCGGGGGCAGAGAGAACGCCGCGGGCCGGGGCGGCCCCGCTCCTCTCGGGCTCTTTCACTTTCGTTTCCGTTTCCGTCGCTTTCCCGGGAGGGGCTTCCCGGCCATGGCGCTGGCGGTGCAGGCGCTGCGGGTTCTGTGCGCCAGCGGCGGCTGCCTGGAGCAGGGCGAGCTGCGGCGGCGGCTGCCGGCGCGGCCCTCGGCCGAGCAGCTGGCGGCCGTGCTGCGGGACGAGCAGCGCTTCACGCTGGTGCGGCGGCCCGGCCGGGAGGCGGCCGCAGCGGAGGCCGAGGTGGCCGTGGTGGTGGCCACCAGCCCCGTGCGGCTGTGCCCGGAGCACGTCGCGGGCTGCCCGGGGCAGTGCGGGCAGCTGCACATCTGCAAGTACCACCTGAAGGGCTTCTGCCGCAACCAGCTGGCCAGGTGAGGGGCGGGGGCGGCGCCATCGCGGGGGGCTCGGCCTTCGGCACGGCGTGCCCCGTCAGGGCAAGGCGCGATCAGGAAAGGCCTTTCCGAGTGGAAATGCTCGCTGTCCGTGAGCACCTTAATTTATTTGTGCGTGTGTTGTTGCAAAGGAGGCAGACACAGGCGGTTGTTTCATAGCTTTGGGTCGCAGCACTTCCTCCCCGGCTCATCACCCTGGCGCTTCCTTGTCCGTGGGCAGGGCTGTGCCAGGGGAAAGCTGAGTGTCCCCGCACGTCCCTGTGCTGCGGGACCCTGGGGGATGTGCTAAAGCTGAGTGTCCCCGCAGGTCCCTGTGCTGCGGGACCCTGGGCAGTGTGCTAAAGCTGAGTATCCCCGCAGGTCCCTGTGCTACGGGACCCTGCGGGATGTGCTAAAGCTGAGTGTCCCCGCAGGTCCCTGTGCTGCGGGACCCTGGGCAGTGTGCTAAAGCTGAGTGTCCTCGCAGGTCCCTGTGCTGCGGGACCCTGGGCAGTGTGCTAAAGCTGAGTGTCCCCGCAGGTCCCTGTGCTGCGGGACCCTGGGGGATGCGCTCATTGTCTGAGAGGGGATGATGCTCTGGAGCTTTGGTGGTTTTGTGGTTGTGAGCTGCAGGTCCAAAATGCCGATATTGTCAGAGTACACTAAGGCTATAATGACTGTGAATCAGAAGTAGTGTGGCAATTATCCTCAGAGTAATTATGTAATCTGCTTTGCAAATCACATAATGGCTTTATAGAAGAGCAATGTGGGTTTTTCTGAAACTAGCTAATTTGGTGTGCTTTTCCAACTGTTCAGTGTAATGCCCATGGGGTTCAAAATAATGCCAGTCATTTTGCTGTTGGGTTTCTTGAGTTCTAGGAAGGGATGCAGGTTTGTTCACAGCTTCCACTCAGACCACAATCTCCGTGTTCTAAAGCAATATGGACTTGAGAATTTAAACCACGATGAACTTTGCCAGCTTCTGCTTCAAAATGACCCTTCCCTCTTACCAGAGGTGAGTATTACTGTAACAGCTTCTTAGCCTTGTGTTTCAGTGGGCATCACAACATGGAAGAGGCTTTACAGAGATGGAGATATTGAGTGTCAGTTTAGTTAGCTTAATGCAAATCAAAAATAAATCTGCATCCTCTGTTCTCACCTGTGGTGGATTGACCCTAGCTGGCAGCTAAGCTCTTGAACAGACCCTCACCCACTCCTCACTCCCCCACCACAAGCAGAAGAGGTGAGTATTAACTAAAAGAAAAAAAGTGGCAAAACCTGTGACTGGAGATAAAGACATTGTAGCAAGGGGAGGAAAGCAGGGAGAAGTGTTGCAAAAGAGAACTTCTGCTTCACCACCTCCGGGCCCAACAAGTCTCTGGGCAAGTGCTACCTTGTAAGAAGGACCCATCTCCCCCTTCTTTCACCTTCCCTCTGTCCCCTTCCTCACTATTATTTTTTTTTTTTTTTTGGAGAATGACATTATGTGGCATGGAATATCCCTCTGGCCAGTTTGGACTATTTCCTAGTTTTGGCTGGAATAGAGTTAATTTTCTTTCTAGTAGCTGGTACAATGCTGTGTTTTGTATTCAGGATGAGAACAATGTTGATAACACTCATGTTTTTGGTTTTGCTGAGCAGTGCTTGCTCTAAGTCAAGGACTTTTCAGCTTTTCATACTGCCCTGCTAGCCTGTAGACTGGGAGTGCACAAGAAGCTGTAATGGAAAGCAGCCAAGAGAGCTGACCCAAACTGGACAGAAGGATATTCCATACCATATGACATCATTCTGAACAGTGAAATGGGGGGGGAGGTGGCCCAGTGATGGTGGCACATTGAGGGGTCCGGCTGGGCTTTTGTCAGTGAGTGGTGAGCAGTTGCATTGTGCATCACTTGTTTTGTCTACTGTTTTATCATTATTATCTCCTCTTCCTTTTATGCCATATAAACTGTGTTTACCTCAACCCTGGAGGGAGTGAGTGAGAGGCTGTGTGGTGTTTATTTGTTCTGGTTTCAGCTAAGGTAGAGTTAATTTTCTTACTGGTATCATGAACAGGGCTGTATTTTGGATTTAATATGAAAATCATGTTGGCGACCCACTGAGTGCTTACCTTCAGTCAAGGCCTTTTCAGCTTCCCATGCTCTGCTAGTGAGGAGGTGCATGAGGAGCCAGGAGGGAGCATGGCCAGGACAGCTGACCCAAACAGACCAAAGGGATGTGCTATCAAAACTGTTTTGGTCACAAACCCAAAACATAGTGTGGTATGGTCTGCTATGAAGAAAGTTAACTCCATCCCAGCCAGATCCAGTATATCTTACCATCAAGTTGGGGTCAAAAAGATTCCAAAACTATTCCAAAACTAGAAAATCAAAGAAGTGTGACTTAGCACTAAGCTCCATCTTGAGAATGTCTGTAAGAATGTTGTCTGTTGAAAGATCTTTCTAAACATTATCAGGACAAAGGAAAAGCTATCAAGTAGTCATTTGGAAAACAAGAAGAAAGAAGAAATGTTTCTGTCAAAAGCAAATGTTTGCACATTGTAGCCAAATAATGGATTCAAATAGTCTAAATGGGCACATTGTACTTTGATGTTTAAATTCTTTTTTTCTTCTCCTTCCCAAGGTCTGCTTGCATTATAACAAAGGTGATGGACTTCATGGATCTTGTTCCTTTAAAACATCCTGCACCAAACTTCATGTTTGCCAGTACTTTTTGCGGGGTCAGTGCAGATTTGGCAGCAGCTGCAAACGGTCCCATGATTTATTAAATCCAGAATGTTTTGAGAAACTGGAGAGACAGGGGATGAGCTCAGACATTATTAAGAAACTACCTTCCACTTATAGAAACATGTATGACATAAAAAATGGCAACAGAAACATGTGTGACATAGAAGATGCCAAATCTTCACCATGCAAAGGTAAATAATATGATCTTTTGAATTCATCAGAAGAGTCATGGTAGTGAATTTAATATTTTTGCTGGTGTCATTAAGAAAACTGAATTTGCATCTTGGTTTGTGTTTTAGGAGTGACCTTGTACCTATATCATTGACAGAGGTCTTTGTCTTGACAAATGAAATCAAGAGTGGTTCCTGAGAAATAGAGTGTTGATGTTAATGAAATTCTTAAACTTGGGGTTAAAAAAGAGTAACAGGAACTAGAAATAGGGAGAGCTATAATTTTGGAGTTTTTTAGGTAAAATACATAAAGGTATTTTAAACTCCTGTTTAAGAATAGGAGTGGTGGTTGTCTGATTATGCTGTTTAATTGTATGTCTTTAAAGTAGCAATTGTCTAGCACAAAAATTCACAAACAGCATTATCCTAGTTATTTCTCAGAAGTGTAATATTTTGTTTGCACTTTTCTTTTGAAGTTTTTTAGAATTGTAAGTTAAGTATAATTTAGCAGGCAAAAAAAAGGGTTAACAGAATGGAGAAGTCAAGTGTGTATGCTCATCTATCTCTTTTATTCTGCCTGCAGTTCTTCCTTTGCTTAATGTGCTTTAATTTACAGAGTATCAGATTTTGAAACTCTGCATTTTATAGCTGCCAGTGTGATCAGCTGTGTGCAATGCACAATTAATTGAAGTCCATCTAGAAGCATAAAGGCATTGGATTCCATTCTCATTTTGTGGTGATAGCTAAAAACTGTATCTGAGGAATTCAGCAGTTACAGGGAAGTCGAGTTCAGAAAGGGTGGATACAAGGAGGGACTTTGAGTATATAAGTTTATCAAAGGCTTCCTTGTCTTTCTGGAGCTGAGTGCAGTTAGGTAGTTACAGACATTGCCTTTAGGCTTCTTCTCAAGGGATAGGAGCACTTTTAAGAAGTATTGTTGATATTAAGTGTATTAATAGTTACAATTCCCCCCTCTAGATGGAAAACCCAGCACTAGACGGGATTCCTCATCTTCAAAGGAGGATGAATCAGAACAGATATGTTTACATCATCTGTACAGAAGTTGTGGCTTTAAAGGTAGGTTGTCTCAAGTATCAGTACAGACTTTGTCAAGTCCAGCCTGTTTTTCTGTTGTCATAAAGAGGAAATGGTAGACATCTTTCACAGAAAGGGGAAACTTTCTGTGAGTTTATGCTTATGTTTAGTTAAATCTCACTGCTATCTTGACTGCTGTAGGAAAGTGTTTGACCTGGCATGCCAAACAAAGGAGATGTTTTGTTTTGCTCTGGAATCTGCTTGTGCGGAAGATTGGCTACTCCACCTGTGTTTACCTAAGAGATTGCTCAATGATAGGAGTCACATTTCCAAATAGGAAAGATATGAAAGATACTCTGAATTCTACATTATCCATTGTTTCTTCTAGTACTCTTCTGTTCCACCTGTCTTAGCTGTCTCCCTTTCAAAATGTTCCCAGGTGTCCAGGAACAAGGCTGCTTTGCCAGTGTTTTTGTTGATTTTTTTGTCATCCTTTTTTTTTTTTCTTGATGTTCTTGACCTGTGTACCAAACACCTCCTCATATGAACTGTGTGGTGCAGTTTCTCCTTGACTTTCCTTGTAGTTAAGTTTCCTTTTGTTCTG